CTCGATAAGCCCCAGAGTCCAGAGCCTCAAAACACCCAAGTGATGGAGGGCTCTTAAAAAGCTTAGGGATAGAGCACTCCAAAATACCTATCTTGATAGTGCTGTAAAAGCCTTCTGTAGAGCTCCCAAAAATCGCTGGTATAGAGAGCATTAAAAATCCTAGTATAAGGAGAACTGCAAAAAAGCTCTGGGGTACAGAGCTTATTAAAAACTGTAATGGGGTGGGATTCCCAAAACCCCCAAATGGAGCAGGACTCCCAAAAAATGAAATGGTGAATGAGTCCAAATAAACCAAATGTTGATCCATTCCTCCGGGGGTGGGGCAGGACACAGTGAAGCACTCTAAGGACTTTGGGTGTTGTAGTATTCCAGAAAATAGTGAAAACATAATGAGCTCCCAAAAAAACAAATGGTGAAGCATTCAAAAAACCCCACAAATCCAGGTTGCAGAGCTCCTGAAAAGTCCCCAGGAGCAATTATCCCAAAAAACAAATGGTGCAGGACTATCTTTGCAATGGTGCGGCCCTTGGGTGCAGAACTCCCAAAAACCTCAAGGTGGTGCCCCAGGCTTCCTATGAAGCCTCACAATTGAGCACTTCAACATATCCCAACATTGAAGTGCTGTGAAAAAGTTCCAGGCTGTAGAGATCAAAAAAATAATAGTTTATGGAGAGCTTCAAAAAAAGGCAGGGCTTTGGCTGCAGGACTCCCCCAAAACTCTAATGTTGAGGGACTCCCAGAAACCCAACATTGATGCATTCCTCCAAAACAGTGCAGTGAATGATTCAAAAAATGCCAAGTGGTGTACATTCCAAAAAAGAGCAAAACCATAAAATTGCTCCCAATAAGCCCTGGGTTGGAGGCTTAAAAAAACATGACAGAACCAACTAATAAACGGTGCAGAGCTCCCAAAAAAACCAAGCTCTGCAGGACTCTGTAAAATAAACCACAAATGGTGTAGCACTCCTCCAGGGTGGTATGGTAAAGCCTTCAAAATAGGAATTGACTTCTCCCTGTGCTCTGTATTGAGGGCAAGGAGGAATGGGCTTGAAATGAAATGCAATTGAGATGTTGTGGAAGGAGAATTCGGAGGCAGATTGAAAGAGATCTGTCATATCATCACTGAAGAGGAGAGATGGGGAAAGAAGGAATCAGAGTTTGCACCTCAGAATGTAAGGGACTGAGAGCTTTAAGTGAAATTATGAGTTGGCAGACAGAAAAGAAACAAAGGCATGTGGTTCTTCACACCCAGCTCATGCAAGTTGAGCTGTGGAACGAACTGCATATGTTGTAGGTGCCAAGGGCAGGTACACACCCCGCCCATTTAAAAGTGTGGATTGAATCCTGCTAGTGTGAATTACAGATTTACTGAAGTCTTGAGTTTCTGAACTCTCTACTTTCCACAGTAATTAAATCTGGTCTGCCTACCTGGCATACATGAAAATCTCTCAAAACGTTGGCCAGAAATAGTCTTGTGGCACAAGAGGTTCTTTTTCAGAAGACTTATGGGCAGCACCCTGAGGCTGGGCTTATTGTAAACTAAATCCTGTTGCTTTCCTGGGGGACCCCATGTGGTCCCCAGCATTTTCAGACTAATTCAGAAGCACAAGTGACTAAAATAAGTCCCCAGTGGTGCCTTAACTGTTTCATATTAGATTTTCAGAAGAACCCTTCCCAGATGGGAAGGAGCAAATACACCAGTGTGTGCTGTGACTGTTCTCATGGAAGCTGGCAGAAGACAGAGGAGATGGTGCTGAGTTCAGTATTGCCTGCAGGAGAGAGCACATCATGTGAGTGCAACTCCTAGTGAATACTGACAAAGACAAGAAAACTAAGACAAGAAAATGAAGAAAAAATCCACAGATCTTAATAGCCTCTATCGAATGGGGCATGCAGGAGCCTGTTCCTCATGTCTGCAAGACAATTCTTCAAGGAAAAGGTGTGATACCTTGAGGGGAACAGGAGAAAGCCAGTGTAGCAAATACTCTTACGTTTCATCTGGGGCAGCAGTTCTCACAGCAGGTGCCTTGGACAGAGACCAGCCTCTTCCTCTCTTCATAGTTCTGTGGCATGGTGTCACCTTTTGTAACATCTTCCCAAGGGAAGGAGAATCTCAAAGGAAGAGCAAGGCTGTCGTGGTAGTCTGGAAGAGGCATAAAACTATTAACTGACTGTGATCTCTAGAAATGGGTGTGCTGGTGTAAGTCCAAGTTTCACGCTGACAGGTCACATGAAAAAACATTTCAATGCATTTTATACACAGTGGAATTTGCTTCTCATGGGCTTCTTATTGAAGAAAGTCCTTGGCATTCTTCACTTAAACAAACTGAAGACCTTTTTCAAGAGCAGGTTAACATTTTCTCCATCACTTCTTCAGAATTTCAGCCTTTTGCTCTCCACTGTTAGTAAGCAGGATTGTAAGTGACAGGTGAGGTTGATGGGTAAAACAGCTTTGTTCTAAGCCTTCATAAATGCCTAATTTGAATGGGTTTCTGAAAAGTGGTTAGTCTCAGGACTAGAAACTACTACAGCTCTGACTCCTCCAATGTACAACTCCACCAGCTTTTACCAGCCAACATCTGGCCTGGAATCCTTGTCCTTAGGAGTTCAGTCCCAATGGAGAGACCAGTTTGGCTTTGTCCTGGAGAAAGATGCAGTGAATGCATAAATTCATTGGAGTTCACAGGGAGGCTGGGAGAGGACAAAGGTTTGCAATAATCTGAAGTGGTAAATAAAGAGCTATATCATATCTGTGCTCACAGAACAGGGCAATAATTTCACAGGTCATAGCTGTGAAGAGCCCAGTGAGAGATAGGGAATGGTATCACCTGGCTGTTGCTGTGAGCTCCAAGACAGAGCGAGAGAGCAGCCTTACAGAAGGGGACAGAACAGTTAAAAGAGGTGTGTTATGGTAAGTTGGATGAAACAGGTGGGCAAAGCAGCCTGCCTTTTTTTGGGACTAACAGAAATGAACTGTTCTGCTGGAAAGAGCAGAGAGCAGAAGGCCTTGGCCAACGCATGGGGGGTTATCTGGGAACAGAAATGCAAGAGGCTGATTTCAGGAGGCTGGGTCAATTAGCAATAGAGGAAAGAAAAGGTGGAAAGCACAATGCTAAGACTGAATACCTAAGACCAAGGGGTACTGCCATCACAGGTCACATGAAGAGTGAAGAAGAAAAGGAAAAATCCACCTACATTATGACCCTTTTCAAATCTATACCAGCTACACGAACTCTGGAATCACAAATGCCATATAGAAATCTGGCAGATCTAGCTGCCCAGGACTTTGCAGGTGCTCATTGTCCTTGCAATGCTTATAGCAAATCCTAGTAATTATTGTTTTTCAGATGGGTTTGATACTCCAGACCACCTGGCTGAGGCACATCCAGAGGATCCTTCTTTTTCTGGTCACATTCTTGTGCATGTTGTATAAAATAAGGTGTGGAGGTTCTGAAAGTGTGGACTATCTCCCTTACTTAATCTGTTTATTAGAATTTGTCCAGGTTTTTTTGTTTTGTTTTGTTTTGTTTTAAATTTTGCAGCCTCCTCCAGCCATCTGCTCCCCTGCTTCCTCTGTAAGAGAAAGTTTTCAAACTGTCTTCCTTTCTTGCACTTGATGCCTCCAGTCTCTCTGTGTCCCTGGGTGCGTGTTTATTCCTTTTCTCCCCGCACAGCTCTCCCCATTTCCTCCTGTCTGTCAGCTTGCTGCAAAATGAACCCATTGTACTCCCAGCCAGAAGAATCTACACCAGCAGTGCAGATGACACCGTTCTTGTAGTCTCACCACCACACAGTGCTGCCCAGGGTGCCCCATTCCTGCCCTAGAGCTGGGACACCAGCTGCTGCAGTCAAGGAGAGCAAAGCAGG